CCCCCGAGGGGCCTCCGGGGGGGCCCCCGGGGGGGCCCCTGCGGGGGCCCCTGCGGGGGCCCCGGGGGGAGCCCCTGAGGGGGCCCCCGGGGGTGGCCCGGGCGGGGAGGGCCCCGGGGTGGCCCCCGGGAGGGCCCCCGCGGGGGCCTCAGGCGGGGATTTCGAGGGGGACTTTGCGGGGGCCCCTGGGGAGGATTTTGAGGGGGCCTTTGGGGGGGCCCCCGAGGGGGGCCCTGGGGAAGATTTGGGGGAGGACTTTGGGGGGGCCTCTGGGGGGCCCCCGGGAGGAGCACCAGGGGGGCCCTTCGGGGGGGCCCCTGGGGGGGCCTTCGAGGACGATTTCGGGGGACCACCGGGGGGGGCCCCTGGGGGGCCCCCTGGGGGGGCCCCCGAGGGGCCTCCTGGAGGGCCGCCTGGGGGGCCCCCTGGCGGGGCCTTTTTGGAGGCCCCAGGGGTGGCGTCGGGGGACGGCTTGGAGGGGGCCCCTGGGGGGGCCCCTGGGGATCCGCCGGGAGGTGGGTTGGGAGGGCCTCCTCCTAGAGGGGCCCCCGGGGGGGCCCCTGGGAAGCCCCCGAAGGGAGCCCCTGGGGGGGCCCCTGTGGGGGCCCCCCCGGTGGCCCCCAGGGGGGCCTCCCAGTACTGCCAGGGGGGCCCCTCAGGGGCCCTCAAGAGATATATGGCGTTGACGAAGAGGCGGGAGAGCAGCAAGTGGCAGCAGCTAGAAACAGCAGCGGCACTGACGAAGTTCATGGGGGCTGGGGGGCCCCCCAGTACCCTGGGGAGTCCGGACGCCCCCCGGGGGCCCCATCTGTAGGGCCCCTGGGCATCTATGCAATCTGTTAATAAATATAAAAGGCCCCTAATGGTACTTGGCATTAAAGAGAAGTTCATGGAAGTCAAAGAGTCCACAAAGAGCTTCAAAGAAGGGTACAGAAGCTCCTCAGGGCAGTCCTGCTGCTGCTGCTGCTGCTGCTGCTGCTGCTCGTCCATGGCGCGCATCAGGGCCTGCAGCGGGGGCCCCACCAGCGTAGTGAGCCACTGCACATCTGGGGGCCCCAAAAGGGTACTGGGGGCCCCCAAAAAGGAGTCAAAGAGGGGCCCCAAAAGGGAAGAAGCAGCAAGGAACATGGACTGCGGCAAGTGGCTCACGCACTCCAGCTCAAACTGCAGCAGCAGCAGCAGCAACAGCAACAGCAGCAACAGCGGCAGCAGAGCAGGGAAACGTCTTTCTTGCTGCTGGAGATAGGGGCAAGCGGAGGGAGTAGAGAACTAAACCCTAGACCCTAAACCCTAAACCCTAAACCCTAAACCCGAAAAGCGACAAAAGAGACTGAAGAGACCCCGGGAAAGCAATTGAGAGATCCAAGCAAAGAAACACACCAAGTGCAAACCCTAAACCCTACACCCTAAACCCTAACCTCTGGTCCCCAAGCCCCAAATCCTAAAGCAGAGTGGGACAAGTTTCACGCAGCACAAATGACACCCGTAAACCCCAAACCCTAAACCCTAAACCCTAAACCCTAACCTCGATGAGCTTTTTGATGAAACCCTCGATGTCTCGCATGTAACATGCGAGGTAGCAAACGTTTCTGACTAGATCCGGGAGTTCCTGTCTCCCAGCAGCCTGTCCACAAACCCTAAACCCTAAACCCCAAACCCTAAACCCCAAACCCTAAACCCTGCATAATTGTTCCAACCTCTGGTCCATTCTGCGCAGAAAAGGAGAGCGCGCGGGCGCCATGCAGCTTGGCCTCGCTCCCAAGGGCTCGAGCAAGGGTTTAGGGTTTAGGGTTTAGGGTTTAGGGTTTAGGGTTTAGGGTTGCCTTGAGAATGATGAGAATGGGCCTGAAGTCGAGGTCGGAGATAATGGCCCAAAGCTTCCGCGGCAGCTCTTTGGGCAAAATGTGAAGAGGGTCTAGAAGTCCTCGAAGATCATTTAAATCTAATTCTAATTCTCCATTTTGTTTCCTTGCCAATTTGCTGCTACTGCTGCTGCCAGACCTTCCTGCTGCTGCTGCTGCTGCTGCTGCTGCCGGCTCCGCACGCACCGTGTTCTCCCCTGCACACGCAGCACACACACACCCATCAATCCAGCAGCAGCAGCAGCAGCAGCAGCAGGAC